TCACCCTGCACTTCTGTTGGGCGCAGCCCCCACGTGCTGTCACAGAAAACAAAGTCCCCCAGCGGTTTATCTCCTCATCTCCTCCCGGAGGAGGCCAGTCAGCAGCGAGAGTGGCAGAGGAGGGAGGCCATGCGCTCCTGCTGGGGCCAGGGTCAGCTGGGCATGGCAGACAGGGGACCCGGGGCGCCGGCTCCCAGGATGGAGGCTCTCGGGGGCCCTGCAGGGGCGAGGCCCCCACCCCGTGATGCCACGCAGGCCAGATCAGTCCCAGCCCAGCCCGCGTTGCCCTGGGGTTGGTGGCCACGGAGGAGGTGGCGCTCCTGCAGGAATGGGGAGGGGTAGACAAGTTACAGCAGACTTAGGCGCAGGATTTCCGGGGTGCTATGTGAAAATCTCCATGGTGACGCTGAGCTGGGCATTCCGCAGGAAGCCTGGGGGGCTTGGCAAGTGCCCGGGTTGCAGGCTGGACCCCCAGGGTGGGGCTTGGTGGCCCCAGGAGGTGTCTAGTGCACAGCCTGCCCAGCCATCCAGGGCCCTGATGCCATCCCCAGCTCTCCATCTGGGTGGCGGTAATTATGTCACAAGAGAGGGGTTCCCACTCTCGGCACTGGCCTCTGGGAGAACCTCGTGAAACGCTTAAGAAAATGGGACCAGCCCGGCCGCCGTGGCTCAGCGGTGGAGCATCGACCCCAGGAACCAGGAGGTTAAGGTTCGATTCCAGGAGGCAGCCGGTCCGTGATTCTCTCTCATCATTGATGTTTCTCTCTCTCTCTCTCCCTCTCCTTTCCTCTCTGAAATCAATAAAAATATATATATATTTCTTCAAAAAAGAAAATTGCTGTGTTGTCCAGCTGCCTGCCTAACAGCTGAGCCTGGCAGGGTGAAGACAGCCGTGGTGGGAACAGCAGGCCCGGAGTGGGTGGGCGTCACGCACAGCTCCTGGAGGGAGGCCCCGGGGAGGGGCTGTGGGCTGAGTGTGTGCTGGGTAAGGGCTGGTCCCTAGGACCTGGAAGCCAGGTCTGAGACCGAGAGACCTTAAGGTCAGGGGGCCCCTCTAGACGGCTCCTAGACCGTTGGGACTTGGGATTGGGCTCAGTTGCCCCTGACCACCGCCGACCACAGCCTCTCATAGAGGTTTCGGTTCCTCACGGAGCCAGGCTGGAGCACATAGGGCTGGGTGGCCGTGGGAGGGGCACGGGGGAGCTGCGGGCTCTGCCATCCTCAGGCACCCCACGGCCACCCCTGGCCGGGCCTCACTTCTGCACGGAGGCAGGAGGAGCAGGAAGAGCAGGAGACAGGGTGGTGACCGTGTCTGGAGCCGGTCCTTCCCCTGAAGCCGGCACCCTGCCACGTGCCACTCACTGGTGAACTCGATCACGTGAGGGGCCAGCTGCTGGGGAGGCTGGGAAGTGGGGCGGCCTGCAACCAAGTCCGGATGGGGAGGCGGAGGGAGGAGTGGAGGGCTGGCTCCCAGGCTGGTACCTGCCCCCCCACTTCTCCTTGGCCACTCTACAGTGGGGTGACTCACACCACCAAGGGCTTCACGGGTCACAACAGGGCCTCCTGGTCCTCCCTGCCCCATGCCCTGGCTCAGAGAGCCCAGGACACTTCCCAAGAGGCCATGCCATTAAGAGAGAGGCCCTGAGGGACACATCCCTGTGCCCATAGCCTTGGTGTCTGTGACATTCCCTGACCACTCACTGGTGCTTTTAAGAATCAAATGAGGCCCGGCCGGTGTGGCTCAGTGGTTGAGCATCAGCCCCTGAACCACGAGGTCACGGTTTGATTCCCGGTCAGGGCACATGCCCAGGTTGCGGGCTCCCTCCCCAGTGTGGGGCATGCAGGAGGCAGCCGATCAGTGATTGTCTCTCATCATTGATGTTTCTCTCTCTCTCCCTCTCCCTTCCTCTCTGAAATCAATCAAAATTAAACAACTTAAAATAAAAAAAGAGGACAGGACTGTGGGAAGAATGGAAGGCGTAATGCCTGGCAGACGTGGCAGGCGCTCAACCCGGACTTGCTTTCTCCATGTTTCTCATACTCACTCAATTCAGGCCTCCTCCCCCTGCACCCAGGATCTGCAGCCTCGTCCTCCTCACTTCTGTTGCTCCCAGTGGGTGCCGGTGTCCCCCTCGAGCAGTTCCTGGACCCTCTGGGCTGGGGTCTCTGTCCTCACAGCCTCCGCCCTGCACGCCGGCCCAGCCTCCACGCTTGGCAGTGATGGGGGGGAGCCCCCCGCCGTGTCCTGGGCTGCGTGGCGTCTGACCTTGGCCGCCTGCGGGCCTTTCTCGGTCAGCACTTTCTTACCTGTCAAGAGGAGATAATAACGTTACCTCCACTCAGGCAGGGCCGGGAGGGAAGGCAAACAAAAGTCCCAGCGCTTGGCCAACCTAAACAGCCCTGGAAATGCTTCGTAATCAAAACGCTCTTTCCCCCTTTTGAAAGCAGAAATGGAGGGAGGATGGAGAGGACCGAGAGAGGGCAACGCGGTCACAGCTGAGGGGGCGGGGTACAGAGGGGACGAGGGAGAGCAGGGCCTTCACCACAGGCACTTAGCAGGGGGCTGGGAGGTGCATCTGAGGGCACTGCTGGCTGAGGGTGAGTGGGCAAGTCCACTGGCCCTGGATGATTCGCAGCCCTCCCTCCACCTGTCAGTCAGCCACTGGGGACACGCCCAGCGTGCACTGTGGGGAATGAGACCCTCCAGG